GGGGGGAGTGGATCGCTATTGTACCCATGTCATAAGCCGCGTCGTCCTGGTCCTCCACCATGATCACAGCCGTCTCACGAGATGGACTACCTTCTCCGCGGGAGGAAGAGCGTTTGCTCTTGCTCTGCTTGGTGGCATCTCTCTTCCTCTTCTACCCCGCCATGAAGCGACCGAGCAAGAGGTCACTATCCATCTCTCCTTCTAATCCTTGAGGCTCAACTGAAAGCAAGGGAAATGGTTAGTCTCCCAAGGACGTAAAACTAAAACCCTAGACAAGAACAAAAGGAAATTACCAAAAGGACCACAGTCTAGGCCTCCCTCAGGAGCGCCCCTGGGCAGGTCGGGCTGACTGCCGCCGGGAACATCCCTCAACAGCTCAGGTTGGTGACGAAGTTCGTCTTGGACGAACTCAAAAGACTCCTCGGTCACCACCTCCTTAATTCTGACGTCCCCTCAGCCGCAGAGTTGGTGGGTCATGGACAAGAGGGTGGCGTCAGATGGGGGACATGGGATGCGACGGAAAGAGGGGAGCCCTGAACCCGTGAAAGGAGATTCAGGCCCCGTCGAGAGAAAGACAAAGAAGGGCTTCCAGTCCTTGGTCGACCCCTTCTTGTCGCTTATAAAAAATTTGCTGGACCTTTGGGAAAGACTGGCATAGGACGCCCAATCCTTGTGACCCTTGGTCAGCTTGAAAGTGAACAGGAAGTGGTCGAGAGTAAGTTTCACCCCTATATCCTTGCATCTGATCAGATAACCGGCAATGTACCAGTGGGAATTGGGAACCAACTGACACTGGAGGAGGTTCACCTCGTTGAGGAATTCAATCAACAGCGGGTGGAGAGGAAATTGCAACCCCTTCTTCAGGGACGCCAAATGGACTGTAAAGAACCCCGACGGAGCGTCTAGGGCGGTCTGGGTGCTAGTAGGCCTTAGAACATCAATAGAGGGTCCAACCATGTCAGTGGCATCGGCGAACCCCTGTTCAGTAACTTGGCAATGGCACAGTGCCATGATGCTCTCGTTCAGCTTAACCCTCGAGCCCCCCCGTGCTGGGGTCGAGGAAGGAAATTGCTTCCTCAATCGGCGTAACTTTTGGCCGGGCATGGCCGGCGGTGACGAATGGGATGATTGAGTCTGGCTTAGGTCATGGCCAAAGGCCGATTGATCGGCATGATGAGAATTGGACGATGCGGAAGCTAAATCGGAATCAGAGACAATCATGGTCGTGAGAGAGGAAACTGACCTGGAGCAGAAGCAAAACGGGTCGGGTAACAGCGGAATCACGAACGGATGGTGATGGAGAAGGTAAAAGAAGAAGATGGCGTCCAGCGGCGGTTTTAACTAACAAGGGGAAGGCGAAGCAGCAGGCTATGGTTACATTTTCATGGAGATTGTGCACAAACGTCACGCGAAACCCAAGGAACGGCCCGGATCCGCGCGAAAGCGCCCACGTGGACCTCGTAAACTCCCCATCCCTCAACGTGGCCCATACGAGGAATGAGGAGTTGGGGGGCTTGTGATGGGCCGATATCCAGCGGGTGGCCCAATTGAACCATTTAATAGACTTTGGGTCAAGCGCACAGGAAATACTTAGGCCTGGGTCGGCCCACGAGACGAAGCCCGATCGACTCCAGCCCAGAAACAGCTGGCGGAGCCAACCCAAAGGAGAAGACGGAGCAGAATGGCGAAGACGAAGCCGGAAAAAGTGGATCGCGCCAATGACGGAATGGACACCCGTTGATTATGTATTACCTTAATTGTCTAGAATCCATGTATAAATAGAAGGGACCCCGAGTGGGAAAACTCAAGCTAAATCAAGCTAATAAAATACACATAATTCTCGAGTTCTTATCCTTAATTCATTCCTTACGATCCGTTCTTCTGAATCGGATCATTTGGTGGGTTTATTGTCCATCACTACATCTTGAGAAACCCTCAACCTCCCAAAATATGGGATAAAACTATGCCAAAGTCCGTCTTAAAGCACGTACCTTCGTAGTACCCCAAAAAAATCAGTTCAATCCCCATAACAATGAACCCATAAACAAACTAGAGCCGCCACCCTCAAAACTAAATAAAAACCAGGAACAGAGTAAAGCAAACTAACAAGATGGAACATATTAAAACCGGCCAGGTGTAGGGAGCAAAGTTTAAAACCATTCATCATGAATAATACTGAGCAATAGGGTATGTAACATAACTGCGTTTGTTTGTTTATTATCGGTCCACACATACATACCGACAATACAAAAAGAATAAAGAATAGTACGTACTCACTCTCCGTAATATATATAGATTCTACTTTATACAAATAAATGACGAACAGCAGGGATAAGAATAAACAAGGGAAGTACTAATATTGTTGTAGTGATAAAGAGGCCAGATGATGGTGGA